GCCAGAAGTTAAAGAAGAGAGAGGGATGAATAGGCAGAGCACAGGATTTATAGGGCAGTGAAAATAGTTGACCCTCAAATAACACAGGTTTGAACTAACTGCGTGGGTCCACTTCTATGCAGAGTTTTTGTTTGTTTGTTTTTTTCAATAAATGCAGGACTGGACTGCAAATATATTTTCTCTTATGATTTTCTTAACATTTTCTTTAGCTTTATTGTAAGAATACAGTATATAATGCATATAACGTACAAAATAGGTGTTAACGACTATGTTACTGGTAAGGCTTCTGGTTAACAGGCTATCAGTAGTTAAGTTTTGGAGGAATCAAAAGTTATACATGGGTTTTCAACTGCATGGGGGCTTAGCACCCCAACCCCCACACTTGTTCAAGGGTCACCTGTACCTTGTATGATTCTTTAATGGTGGGTACACGTCAGCGTACATTTACCCAAACCCACAGAATGTACAACACCAAATGTGAGCCCTAATGTAAACTCTGGACCTTGGATAATCATGATGTGTCAGTGTGGGTTCATTAATGGTAACAACTACTCCACTCTGGGGGGAATATTAATAGTGACAAGGCTGTGCAAGCCTAGGGGCAGGGGTAGAGAAATCTCTGTACTTTATGCTCCATTCTGCTGTGAACCTAAGACTGCTTTTAAAAAATAAGGATTTCCTTTCTGGCTTTTGGGGGGATTTGGGGGTTTTGTTTGTTTTTGTTTTTTGGGGGGGATTTGGTTTTTGTTTTTTTTAATGCAAGCATGAGGGCATTGGCTCCCAGAAATGGTGGGCAAAGGACTGCAATCCAAAGCCAAAGAAGGTACATGGTTGAAAAATAACACATGAAGGATGTGTCAAATCACACTGGCCGTTGGGGAAAAGCAAACTGAGAATTGAGACCCTGGTAAGATGTCACTACCCCCCATTACAGTAGCCGAAGTTAAAAGTAGCCTCAACACCAAATACAGGGGAGGCGGAGAAGAAACTGGATCACTCATATGTTGCTGTTTGAACATAAAATGGTACAGTTATGCTGGAAAACAATTTGGCATTTCAAGAAATTGAACATACACTTACCATTAAAGTCAGCAATCATACTCCTGGGCATTTACTCCAGAGAAACGTAAACTTACCTCCACAGCTGGACGTGAACACAGTTGTTCACAGCACCTGTATGTGTAATAACCCCAGACTGGACGCATCTACCACCGCCAGCAGGTCCGCACCGTGGCATTCGACTTCCTTATCGAGAGTAACAAACTCTCGATACACTCCGCAGTCCGGACGGATCTCAGGGCAATTATGCTGGATGGAAAAAGCCAAATTCAAAGCATGGAACTGAACACATGCACTGTACCAATGTCAGTTTGCTGGGCTTGCTGTCACACTGTACGTACTTAAAAGGGGACCAAACTTGCTGAAGGGTATACGGGACTTCTCTGTACTATCTTTGCAACTTTCTGTGAATTTATAATTATTTCAAATTAAAAGTCACAAAAAAACCAAAAACAAAACACAAAACACAACCCTTGACCTTCTCCCAGCCAACCAGCTAGCCGCACAGCAGGCTCAGGACTCCGGCTTTGGCGTGACCAGTCCCTACCTCCCCAGACCACCATGCGATAGTCTCCCCTGGACTGATGAACATCTGAACGTCACGGCCCCAAGAATACCCTTCCTTCCGATTCAGTAGCCAGAAGGCCTCCCCTTTCCCCTGGGGGCTCACTGCATGCAGAGCCCCTGCCCAACCCCGCTCTTGCCCCACTTCCTGCCTGCCTCTTACCTCCTCCTTGCTAGGCCGGTGTGAGGCCAGGATGGGGTCAGTAGTGGGGGTGCGGGGGGGGGCCATCCTCAGGGCCCCCTCCGCCCGGCGGCCCAGCACACACCAACCAGCCTCAGCCCCAGGCCCCACACCCCGGTGGCTGGAGCCAAGCCCAACCCCAGAGTGGCAACCGGGACAAATGTCTCAATGGAAAGAGAAGCCAGCTTCCTTGGGCTGAGTTCAAACTTCCGGTTGGCAAGGGTATCGTCTTCCTCTGGCTAGTTGGCAAGGGAATACCAGGTACTTCATTGTTTCTGTGGCTGCAGGCTGCCCGGGAAACCTCACCTCTGTCTATAGGCCGTTACTTGTGTAGGAAATTTTATTCATAACCCCTGATCCCTTTGGGGCTACAATCCAGCTAAGAAGGTTGGACCTGCTCTGTTCTGCTGAGGTGGAAAATTCCAGGCCGTCCTTATCCCAACACAAACCCCGTGAGTAAACCTCCTTAAACTATTTGCCAAACGTTAGGGTGGCTTCCACCGCGAGTGCCACGTTGACTGTGTGGGCACCACGTTGTGTGTTTGGGTTCACAAGACGGCTTGCCTCCACAGTTAACCTGCAATTCTTAAATCTTTGCTTACAATTCTGCCACGCTCGAAAGAAGATTTTGCATAGAGCTATATGTCATTTCACAGATGCCAGGAAAATGAGAGCATAGGTTTATTAACTTAAAAAAAAATATATATATATATAAGATCTATAACGCTAAGTGGAAAAGACCATCTCTTGCCGTGGGTCCCCTACGCCATTTTACTATGAAACACTGCCCTTCACTTTTTAAATGACATGAAGGAGAAATAATCTGTCCATGTGTTGGCTTTAGATGGCGTTTGGTCTTTTGCTAGGAAGCTTAGCGGTCATTCCCTTTCCTTTGAGTAGCTGGGAGATAAGCAAAGTAATTACAAGAAAAAGGGTTCAACCAAATAGCTGCAGTCTCTAAATTAGAGACCTGGAACGAGATTCCATCTGTGAAAGTTTGGCTGCCCCTCTTCTTCACTTAGCCTGGTCTCACCTCACCCAGCCAAAATTACCATCCTCTCTAACCCCGTGATTAAACTTAACAGGTTCTGGGCTGGATGTTGAGCAAAGTGGTATTAAAGTCCTCCAGGGGCTCCAGGGGCACCTGGCTGGCTCAGTCGGTAGAGCGTGCGACTCTTGATCTCGGGATTGTGAGTTTGAGCCCCACGTCGGGTGGAGAGATTACTTTAAAAAAATTAAAAAGTCCTAGCCCTACGCAAGAATTTCGGATCCCACACCATTGAATACCCACCGGCACCTCGCATCCTAAAGTGCTTCCTAGTGTGGATAGCAGGCAAATCTAAGAATGTTTCTCTAGAATAATTTCTAAGACAAGCTGAGGGGACGGGGTGACTTAACCATTGTCCGTGTCCATTCGCTGAGTCATAACCTTCCCGCCCTGGCTTTGTCTTCCACAAATGGGTTTTGTCCCCATGGTTATGTGGAAATTGGCAAGCTGATTCTAAAATTCATATAGAAATGCAAACGGCCATGAAAAGCCAAAATAATCCTGAAGAAGAACAATAAAGCGGGAGCCCTTCTATGACCAAATAACAAGACCGATTCTAAAACTCCAGCAACCAGGACCCTGTGGAACTGACACCAGGACAGGCCACCCATGGGCAGCCCAAGTTGTCTCTGGTGTTTCCAGGTTGTGCCAGAATTCAGAGACCATGAGTGCTTGGGAGAAGAGCCTGGAGTTAAATGGCTGGTACTTAAGAGGAAGGCCTGGGCTGGACACCCAGGTCAGAGCATCACCAGAATGGTGAATCTAGAGGTACTTAAACGGCCTTGTGAAGAAAAGAAGCCAGTGTGGTAGGTGAGTGAAGAAGACAGATGGCTGAAGCTCTAAGTTGGTTATTCAGAAAGTGATACCACTGCTCCTTTAAGAACATTTTTTCTAAATTCCCCTTTTGTTAACTTCCTCTTGGGAAATGTATGGTTTAGGCCAACTGACTAGATTAGCACTGATTTGTGTGACCAGTCCAACACTCGGATGTTCCATAGGCTGCCAGACACACACGAATGGTCTCACTGTCACTTTTTGGGGGCATTAATAATACTAATATTCAAGGCATTCTGAAAACCTCTTAAGACAAAGCTAAAGCAAACAAAAGGATCTGTTGAATAAATTAAGGTACATTCATACAAGGAAATACTATTTATTAAATCAATAAGGTCATCTCTCTGTGCAGATTCAGAAAAAAATAAATTATTAAAATAATTCACACACACACACACACACACAGTGTCTTGCAGTGCGGGGAAGGAATTCAAACGTTATTTTTATTCAGTCCTCATAACCACATATAACTCATCCTATCATGGAAGTTCACAAGGTGTAGAATCTGTGGTCTGAAGAACGGTCACGGGCATTTCATTCTACTGGCATCTTACGAAGCATGTGTTGGTTACCTGCATCCTGGCGCTTCAGTCCTGGGTATCTGGCGTCCAGACTCCATCCCTGCTCAAGATCTGGCCCCTGGGTCAGCAGAATCGGCATCACCAGGCTGCCGGTTAGAAATGCAGCAGGTCCGTTCCTGCCTGGATTACCAGCACAGCCCCTCTTTCCTTCTTTCAACCAAGTGATGGGCTCCATGTTGCTTTTAACCTATGCAACGCACGTGTAACGTTTCGTGGTCAATGTAAAAATCCATGTGGTGAAAAAGAATTGAGAATTGCATTGTGCCCAAGACGTGCAGTGTATTGCCGCACAAAAGCATGTAAACCTATAGACTTAGAAGTGACCAGAGTGACCTATACACAAAAAGAAGACTGATCTCAAGTCTTCTCATTACTTCATTCATGGCCAGCCTTTCTCCTCTGTCCCTGCGTATCTATAATGAATAAGGAATTAAATAAAATAATAGTTCAGCCTGAAAAAAAAGAATGTCAGCCCCCATCCAGACCTAAAATCTGCATTTTAGCAAGATCCCCCGGGGCTGAATCTGCTCATTAAAGTCTGAGAAGGGCCCAGTTTGGGTGGAAGGCATTTAGATGGCTCCGTTGCTTAAGTTCTCCAGAGTCAGAGCATTATCATCAACAACACACAGGCAGAAACGAAATCTCATTTCTCACTCCTCAATACAGAGTCTTTAAAATGACAAAGATAAGGGTGGAAAGTCTGGGGGTGGGGGGGGGAAGGACACAAAGCACCCCTGGCATACGTTTACCCTGAGATAAATAGCTGGGGCTTTCTGAAGCCGGACTCAGGAAGAGAGCAAAGTCTGAGTTTGTGGAGGCAGCCACGTTTCTTCAAGGGAGGTAAACATGCCAGGCTTTGTTAGTCTTTGCACGATAAACCAAGCTGAGCACTTGCACACAGCACACCAAACAATGTCCTGCAAGAGGAAAAACTTTTAATCCATAAATTACAGCAAGAGCTTGGAAGGAAATCGAGGCCTCCGGTCAGGGACAAGACTCTCAAGAGACACGTTCCAGAATACACAAGACAGCAGGGCCTTGGGAGCAATAAACAAGGTGCATTCACCTTCCGAGACGCAGCGAAGGCCGTCCCAGCCCCTCTCTTTCTGTATACCTTCTCTGTTGACTTAGTGATCAAATTGCAGTTAAATGCCCGATGATAAAGGCACAGTGCCTAATAAATTAAAACATTTAATGCTTGAATATCCCATCCCTCCACTTGAGTTGTAATTTAAAAAAATTATTGTAAAGAAGGTAAAATTAGAATTTGAACTTTATGTTCTTGTTTGGCCAGGGGTCCTCCCGAGCAGCAGGGCGTAACACAGCCGAGGAAGTTCACCCGAAGTTGGTTAGAGCGGAGACGGCCAAGGAGAGAGCATTCTGTCCAAAGAGGCGTCCGTGTTCTAGAGGAAGTCGTGGGGCGGATCCAGAGGTTGGGATGGACAAGCCCAAATGGAGGAGAGGCATTCTGTCTCAGTTTCAAATGAGGGGGACCAATTTGTCCCAGTTGTCTGGGAGCTTCCCAGTTTTAGACCCTGGGAGACCCTTCAGTCCGGGACAAACCAGGAGGACTAGTCCCCCCTACTATTGCCTAAACCCGGGATAATGGGGCTGCGCCCCGAACAGCAGGGGCAGGGGGCCTCAGTGAGTCAGCAGGGCTGGGGTGCCTGCTGGGGAGGAGCCAAAAGCAGGGGTGTCATTTCCAAGCACAGGCCCGCTAGTCCCCAATGGAAGCTCTTCCAACAAAGGTGGTATTTTTAAAAACCAGGCTTTTATTTGGAGCAGGCTTCTTGAAAAATCCTTGAAAATGCTTCCTGTTTTTAATTAAGATCCCTGGAACAGTTCCATGGCCTCTCATTGTGCCTTATTTTAGTTCAGATTTCATTCTTCCTCCTCACACCACCTTAAACCTGAAACAAAGGCAAAGGCAAAGACGTCCACCGCTGTGCTCCAGGTGGCCTTCACGGGGCCGGCGTGAGACTGCCACCAAGACACAGAGGAAGCTCGTGCCTAGCGCCACGCTGCATGCCGGCTGGCTGTTTGGCACGACCAGCTGTCTGGTCCCTCCCCGTCTGAGCAAAGGCACCCACGTAGCGTTGTGCAAGCCGCACACTCTGGGCTGCAAGGAACAGGGGTTCTAAGCGTGGGTGCACCTGTCGGGGAATCTGAACCACCTGCACTGGGACCCCTCAGCAGCCGCACCACCAAGTGATTCGTGGACCCCAGCTGGACGCCCCTACAGTTCAACTCCACTATCGACCTGGAAATGATGTCGGATCCCACAGGTTGAGGGCTCGGTCCCACAGGACTGCCCCCCCCGCCATGATCCTCACCAGCCCCCCGCCCCTGGCTTCAGACTCCGGTCGTCAAGCCGGGGTGTCCCCTGTGCTTCTGAGGGACCGGCGATAGGCTGGGGGTTTGCGCAGCCCCCTCGAGTCCCATTAATTTGCTGGAGGGGCTCACAAAACGCAAAGAAACTTCTTACTTACTAGATCACCGAATTGTTGTAAAAGGATAGAACTCAGGAACAGCCAGGTGGACGAGATGCACGGGGCAAGGTCGGGGGGGGGGGGGGGGGGGGGCTCAGAGCTTCCATCACCACAGTCCCAGGATTCCCATGTGGTTCACCGACCCATTGCTGTCTTAATCGTCCGTCAGGATTTCTATGGAGATTTCATGCCATGGAGGCTCGGTGATTAAGTCCTGGGCCCTGGGTGACCTGGGTGACCAAGTCAACCTCCAGTCCCTCCCCACCACCAGAGGGAAGGAGGGAAGGGACCGGAAGTTCCAACAGGAATCACGAGGAACGCTGTCTCTGGGCAACCAGTTCCCCTCCTTAGCTGCCCTCGGGGCTTTCCAACAGTCGCCTCATAACCTGACAGAAGATGCCCTTACGGCTCTCCTCTCTGAAAGTCCCAAGGCTTTTAGAAGCGCTGAGCCAGCCACAGGAGGAAGACCCGATATGTACTTCTGATTGTGAACCGCGGTCTCGCAGACCACGCCAAGCAGTTGGGAGCCACTTGGAACTCAGAGCCAGAGCCTGGGACCTTCTCCCTGGGCCTCCAGCAGCAGCACAGCCTGCGGCCTTCACCCCTACTCCAGGGCGCATCACAGGACAGAAAGAGGCCTGGCTCCTCCTGGCCAGACTCAGGACACCCGTAAGCACCGCGGCCAGGCCTAAGCCCAACATCACAGAGGCGCGAGCAAGAAAGGGTCTGTGCCTCCACACCACGGTCACCAGGCTTTCCGGGAAGACCAGTGGCCCACGGTGGCATCTGTCTCCTCTGTCAGGAGCCTGGATTGCGGGGACCCAGCTTCTGCCAGGGTCTCACCAGGCAGGACCGCCTCCTACAGGGGCCTGGAGTGCCACAGCCGTCCTCTCTCGGATGGATCCTCTTTTCTCTAGTCCGTGATGCCTGCACACTCTTGGCTGCGCACATAAGGGCAGTTCCGCCCAGACCCTCCAGGCTGGCTTTAGAAGTTTCTGTTCCCACCTCTGACTCCCACCACCGAACATTCCTCCCAGTGAAGTTCCCAAGGGAGAGAGAATGTGGTTGACCCCTAAGAAAGCTAATGGGTGTGTGGGGGCCCACAAGGCGGAGGCTGCCCCCCGTGGTCCAGCCCCCGCCCCATCACAAATCCAAACCTGAGTCAGCCGGCACTCACGGAGGCACCTGCCAAGGACCCTAACACACACCGGTGCTCCAGCAGCCGCTAGCTCCCCTCCGCCTGGAAACGAGGACCTGCCGGCCGTATGAGGAAGTGGCGGACCTCCTAGCCAGTCGTGCTTCGCACTCTGTTTCCTCTTCTCATGCTCTACACCCTTGCTCTTGCCCCAGGTCCTCTGGGAATAGTGCTCCCCTGCTTGGGCGGCACACAGTCCATCCATGGATTGCTTTGCCTGAATACAGATCAACCTTGTTACTGAATTGCTTTCGTTTTGTCATTTCACCCCCCCACACACACACATCTTTGCACATCCAGCCACAGCACGGGTTGAACTTGGGCCACAGAAGGGGGGGATCCAAGTCTGGCCTGTGGAGGCAGCCCCTTCCTTGGGGCCATGAGGACCCTTCCCCTCTGCTGTATGAGTGAAGCGCATCATCACGTGTGACGCTCTAGAACACGGTCAGACATCACTGGTGCTGCCGCTATTGCTAGTATTTGTGGAAGGGCGGGAGGCTCAGCCCCATAATTCTTAGCGTCAGTTCAAGGGGTTTCTACATAACCCCCTGGAGTGGGGGGCCTCCCCCCAGTAACTGGAATAGATTCTCTCATCACTTCTCTTTTAGGAGTGGACCAGCTGAGTTGTGTGATGAAAAGGTGAAGAAGGTGGCATTGGGCACAGCCGGGCATATATACAACTGTATGTATTTCACGTATGTGCACACACGTACACACAGGCCCCCCCACTCACATCCATACTCTCACACGTACGCACAAGCCCCCCCCCACACTCACATCCATACACGTATGCACAGCAAGCCACTCACACACACATATACTCTCACACACACTCACTCTCCCACATACACACTCATACACGTTCTCACACATATGCACAGCAAGGCACACACACACACACACACACACACACACACCTCCTTCATTGCAAAGAATCAGTCTTCAGTTACTAGGTCCATGCAGGGCCCGCAAGTTCTCTTCAGAGATGGAAAGGCAAGAAAGACATCACCTACTCCCTCATTCTCCATTAATTCAATGCACTGTTAGCAACCGTGTGAATTCTAGAGGGAGGAACGAAGATAACTATCCAGGCTTTTGCTCTCTTCTGGAACGAGAACATCCTGGCCAGGGCTTAGCTCGTGGGGGGTTAGGTCGACTTCCGTGGGCAGCCTGGGACCCCACTGCTGTTCACCGCATGAATTCTCTGGTAAAATGTACGCGGATGTCAGACGTCCTGCGTTGGTAAGTTTGCAGGCTAGGGACCTCCCTCATCCCACTGGACTTTTTAAATATTTGTTTGCATTTCCTGTGGTGCCCTGGTGGTTGAAAAGCCAGACTCTTCTAGCCAAACCCCAAAGTTCATGGGTTGTGTGATGTTCATGGTGATTTCTCATTAACATGATGCACTGAACTTGATTTCCCCTCGCCTACTAATGTCAATGAGATATTTTATGTGGTCTTTGTTTCTTGGCGTTTGACATAAAAGGGAAACCCTCAGGGTTATGCTTCTCACTGGGCAACATGGAAGGAACCTCCCTTACTGTTCCTGGCAACACTTGACCATGCTTGTCTCCTACGGGCGACAAGTCACAACTCCTGTCCCCTCTCCCTGTGCTTCAGGACCCTGCTTCCGTTCAGCTGCTCACCGCATTCTTCTCACATTTTCCTCACTTCCCAAGATTATTCATGATACATACACCCTCCGGGGTGAGTAGTGCCCATCTGCATGGTTACAAAGAACGTAGTCTTTTTTCAGGAGCAATACCAAATACTCCTGGAGTTCCTTGATGTGTCTTGAACTCACAAAATAAACTTCAGAGCCTGCAGCATGGAGAGATTATAGATAAACATGTGTTAAAGTCAATCTCAGACAGGAAAATCTTCTGCTTCATAAACGTTAGACAGTGATTAGCTGCATTAGGAATTTAATCTTTATAAAAATTATGTCAAAGTGATAGAATATTATGGAAACTAGGAAAGAACTCCATCACCAGCATAACCACTCTTGACATTTTGGATATTTAAGACCTTTCACTATTGATCATATGCATTTTTTATAGAGAGAGATTTGCAGCTTGATATTTTGGTTTTTTCGCTCTGTGTGAGCTGTTTCCATGTGCTTTGACATGTTAGTACTTATGACCACAGTGACTACGTACTGCATGGCCTGTCGAACGTGCCTCAATTTGTTGCTCAAGTTCTCCGACTGTGGTCACTGGGAGCTCTTTCTGGGTGTCTCCCGTATCCCTTTGACAAACCTCCTTTTTTTAAAGTTTATTTTGTTTAGTAATCTCTACACCCAACATGGGGCTCAAACTCATGACCCCAAGATCAAGAGTCACATGCTCCTCCAACTGAGCCGGCCAAGCACCCCATCTTTTTTTTTTTTTTTTTTTTTAGTCCTTCCTTACTTTCTGGCACTTCGGGCTCATCTGTAGCTTCCCCAGCCCAGCCCTAGAATCAGCCATTCCTCCAAGGCATCCTGGTGCCTTTTATTAAAGAATCGTATTTGGAAACAAAGATCTAGGTGCTGGTTTCATTGACTTCTAGCTAATGATTTTTTTTTTTTTCTGTTCTCAATGTTACTGATTTCTTCTCTTTATTATATCCTACACAACAATTTTGGAGAACTATCAGTATTTACTAAAATTGTCTAAATTCATACCCTGTGGCTCAACAATGTCATTTCTAGGAATTTACCCAATAGAAGTGCATACATATAAAAGAATATCCACAGAGGGTCACCCGATCATACACCTGAAACTAACAGAACACTCTGTTAATTATACTGGAATTAAAATTTTTAAAAATTTCTTAAAAATAAGGAAATTCTAAAAAAAAGGATATCTACAGAAACCATATATATAATTACCAAAAGCTAGAAACAATCCATGTGCCATTCAACAGTAAAATGGATAAACAAATTGTGGTTTATTTCTACAGTAGAATACTATTCAGCAATAAAAAAGAACAAACCACTGATATATGCAATGGCATGACAATCTCAAAAACATTATGCAAGGGCGCCTGGCTGGCTCAATCGATAGAGCGTGTGACTCTTGATCTCAGGGTCATGAGTCTGAGCCCCACATTGGGCACAGAAATGACTTAAAAAAAAAAAAAAACGTTACACAAGGGAAAGAAGCCAAATACAAAGAAGAGTCCACTGTATGAATTTATGAAAGATTTAAAATGAGTCAAACTAATCTGTTGTCAGAAGATGGGATAGAAGTACTTTTGGGGAATGGTGGTAGGGATTTGGGAAGAGGATGAGGGACACTTCTTGAGTATGGTGATGTTCTGTTCTGGATTCGGGGGTGGTTTCATGGGTAGGCTCATTATTATTTTTTAAGACTTTGGGTAGCCTTTTTTAAAAAAGATGTATTTATTATTTATTTGAGAAAGAGAGAGAGAGAGAGAGAGAGAGAGAGAGAAAACGTGGGCTGGGGGAGGGGCAGAGGGAGGGAGAGAAAGAATCCTTTCAAGCAAACTCCCTGCTGAGTGCGGAGCCCGACTCGGGTCTTGATCCCAGAACCTTGAGATCATGACCTGAGCCGAACGAAATCAAGAGCCAGCAGCTTAACTGACTGAGCCACCCAGGTACCCCCTCATTATTATTATTGTAACAATTTAGCAAGTTGTATACTGAAGAGTCATGCATTTTTGGGAATGAATGGGATATTTTATTTAAAAAGTTTATTTTTCAGAAATTGTTCCAGATTTGGGGGCGCCTGGGTGGCTCAGTCGTTAAGCGTCTGCCTTCGGCCCAGGTCATGGTCCCAGGGTCCTGGGATCGAGCCCCGCATCGGGCTCCCTGCTCCGCGGGAAGCCTGCTTCTCCCTCTGCCTGCTCCCCCTGCTCGTGTTCCCTCTCTCTCTCTGTGTCTCTCTCTGTCAAATAAATAAATAAGATCTTTAAAAAAAAAAAAAGTTGTTCCAGACTGGTTCTTTCTCCTGTATGGCTCGCATCTGGCCCAGACAGAAACATTCGTGTAAACTTTGTCCTGATAAACTCTAGGGTGTAAGCCACACCCCATGCAGCCCCCTCCCCTCCCCCTCCTCTGTCAGAACCATTAGATTGGAACTCTCATGGGTGGGGATCAGGCTCCAAGGAAATCCTCACAAAGTGCCCCCTCAGTTTCCAACACCCCCACCATGTTTATCCCCTGAGCGTGGATTTAAGTGTGGATATGTTTCTTTTTTACTCTCCCATGACCACCACACTGAGAGCACTTCTGACACCAGACGTATGGGTTTTCTCTACACCAAGCAATTCTGCGACACCAGCTGGGTGTCCTACAGGCTGACGCTGTCTATCTGGACACAGCATCATATCCCACAGGTTGAAGGCTCAGTCCTACAAGACTGCCCCCACTTCTGATGCCAATCACAATAGTGGGTCTCCAATTATCTACAACTTCTGTCCATCTTAGCGACAAATCAGAAGTTCCCATGACCTCCTCCCCTTGGATTCGATTATTTGCTAGAACAGCTCACAGAACTCAAGGAAACACGTATGCTTACCAGTTTATGAGAGGATATGACATGAACAGCCAGATGAGGAAATATGGAGGGTGAGGTCTGGGAGGGTCCTGAGCACAAGCAGCTTCTGTCCCTGTGGAGTTGGGGTGCATCACCCTCCCGGTGTGGATGTGTTCACCGACCTGGAAGCTCCCTGAACCCCAAGCTACTGGGATTTTTATGGAGGCTTCCTCGCATAGGAATGACCAGTACTAACACCATCTCCAGCCCCTCTCTTGTCTCTAGAGAATGGAGCGGAGAGCTGAAAATTCCAAGCTTCTAATCATGGTCTTTCTGGTGACCAGCCCCCATCCAGGAGATGTCCAAGAGCCCAGAGTCGTGTCATGAGAACAAAAGACACTCCTGCCACCCAAAAAATTCCAAAGGATTTGGTACCCTGTGTCAAGAACCAGGTACAAAGACCAAACATTAGAACAAAAGATGTTCCTGATGCTCTTATCACTTAGGAAATTACAAGGGATCTAGGAGCTCTGTGCCAGGAAGCAGGGGCAGAGACCAATATACATGTTTTCTATCATCCCCCGGGATCCAAGAATCCTGAGCTAGTTCTCAGAGATTTCCTTAGAAAATCTGCCCTCAATACCATTGCATTCACTTTGGTATCTGATGTTTATTTATCTGGGCTTCTCTGCTGGAACGTCCAGCATAATATCCCCTAACATCCTTCTAAAACCCTGACTCTGCTGTTCAGACAGAGTCCAGTGTTTCTTTATAATCATTTTTAATGGGTTCTTTATGAAGAACACACACACACACACACACACACACACACACACACACACACACACAAGAAGGATTGGTTGAGAACATCTGAACCCAGAACCTAAAATTAGAAACAGATACATTTTTCTATAGACATTTGCAGTGGGCATCTCTCGCTTTGTCTACCTATTCTGGCAACAGAATTCTTCATTCCCATTCCCATGGCAAACCCACTCCATAGACCTGGCCCCGCCTTCTCCTCCACCTGGATGACAGTGGTGGGCAGGTGACCGATTCTAAGCCAGCAAGAATACTCCATCCTTGTACCACCGAATGTGTCAAGTCAGCCAGGCCTGCATCTTCCTGGGCAAAGGCAAGTGTGTCTTTCTATGCAGTTGCTAGCCAGGAAGAATAAGTCTAGAGCACTCACATGGAGAACTCCCAACTGTTTGAAACCTGAGGCCAAGTAGAGAGACATGTGCAGATGAGAAACAGAGAGAGAAAGAGAAAGAGAGATTTACAGAGAAAGAGAAAGGATGATGTTGGTATGGTGGAAAGACCAGATCCAGCCATATTTAAGCTGGAAGCCGCCCCCCCCGACATGTTAGTCACGTTAGTAACATGAGCCACGAATTCCCTTTTCTGTTTATGGCAGTCAGAGTTATATCTCTGTCCATTCACAGCTGCAAGAGTCCTGAATATTTCCCGCATATATAAACATTAACTTGCACAAATTATTCAGTGGGATTCCATTATAAATCAAACTGGAGGTTGATGGCAACCAGGATGCCCAGAAAAAGTATGGTCCATCCTGTACTTTCTTCTCTATGCTCCAGACTCTGTAGGTTCACAGGGCCTCCTCCCCCTTTAACAGCTGAATGGGAATTGGGTGGTTCTGTGTCATAGCCTAGGTAACACCTAGAAGCACCCTCTCAGTTGGTGGGGGCACAGGGCATGGCCAAGGATGTCAACATTCATTGCCACATGCCAACTATTTTATAGGCTACAATATTATATAAAATGACAAATGCATTTTGCCCATCAGAAATGAATCACGGTCATGTTTAAACTAGAGATGAACAACCTAGGGATGCTTTCTCATAGCTAGGAATTGTATATTCTGCCCCCTCCCGTGGACATTTTATGGCAGGATAGCAGTGCCACTTTGGACAATGCCAACCAACTCAATCCCATTCAGCTTTTCTACTTAGGTAGGGACACTTGAAAAGCTCTGAACAATACCAGGGAGCCCCTCCTTGTCTTATAACTGCTTACCAAAAGGCAGACCCTCAAAGAGGAAATTTAACAGACATTACATAATTACTTACCAATTTTCTTCTGGTGGGTCACTTGCCAGAAGACTGGGAATGGGGAATGTCCTAGAAATTCCAGAGAGACAGCTTGTCCTGACAACAGGAATAAACCAGAAGCTTGCAAGGGGCGGGGCGGGGCAGGGCGGGGGGAGGGCCACGGTGCAGAGCAGGATGCGGACAGAGTGATGATTCTTTACTATCTACGATTTTTGAAGCTTCACACAAAAGCTACTTTTGATCATTGGCTGAAAGGGAAAGATCTGGATTAAATGACTTCCCTCTCCTTATTTAAGCACACCATGGTATGGTTGGAATTCCACACCTCCTTCTGGGACTCAGGTTACAGAGGGGTCCCTGTGGCTGAGTCTCCCAGGTGTGGGGAGTGGGGAGCCAGAGGTAGCCCCATAGTTATCTGGGGGAGGTCAGAATGGCTGATGGCTTGATCTCCCACCTGAGCTGCCCACCCAGCTTCCGAGAAAGACACAAGCAGCTCAGGGCTCCAGTCGCTCCTTGCTTACTGACATCTCCCTCAGCAACTGGGAAACCAGGAAAGTTTCCATCATTGTGACCTAAGGAGGAAGCTATTCATGAAATGCCTAGTGAAGAATTTTCTTCTCAGTTCCCTGGGTTGTTTCTCCTTCTCCCCCTCTTTCTGGCAGTCTTTCCTCCTGGAGGAAAAAGAACATCCCTTGAGGCCAAAATGGGGAAGTGTCAACAGACTGGGGGAGGAGAAGGCGGGGGTGGAGGGGGTGGGGGGGTGGGGTGTGTGTGGAAGAGACTTCGCAGCTTCTTGGGATCAGAATCCCGTGGGCAGGAGGACAAGGAGAAACACCAAGGCAGGGGAGAAAAGCGGAGCAGGAAATCCCTGAGCAGAAAGCTTGAGCAGGTGCCCAGCCTCCCCAGGTGCAGCCTGTGGAAAGGACTGAATGCCTCTCAGAGGGGAAGCCTCAGGGGGCCTCAGGCCACAGCCCGTATCCAGCCAGCCCAATCAGCAACGGCTGAGCGCGGTGCCTCGCCCGGCTGAGGGGTGCATGCGGGTCCCTGCTCCTGCAGACCGGATGAGGGAAAGCCAGCCCCAGCGAGGCCACTGCCCCACTTCCTGCCATATTCAACATGGCACAGGAAGGGCGCAGCTGGGAGGGTGGAGGGAAGTGTCTGTCTGGACATAGAGTCTCCAGTAGGGCCCCGAACCCTACGTCAACGTGGGCACTTGTGCTAGTCACGGGGGAGGGTGCAGGGGCTGACCGGGGGAGCTCTGGGCCGGCAAGCAAGCAGGACAGGAAGCTGCAGAATGCGGGGCAAGAGGCAGGGACCAGGACTGTGGACAATGTGCACAACACCACCCCAAACACCAGGCAGGTGTGGACATGAAGGCATTGAGCTAGCAACCACCCCGCAGAGGGGACACAGGAGAACACGGAGCAAGTGGTGCGGAAACCCCTTAGTGCCTGTAGCTTCTCTGAGGCCACCATCTTGAAAGAGAGAAGGGAAAAAGAAGCCTCTTGAAGAAACAGCCCTGGTGGAAATGAGAACTTCAGATGAACTTAGTGTTTACCTCCAAGGAGAGCGAATTAACCCCAAAGAGAGAATTCAACTCACGGCTGGCTGCCTGTTCTTTTTTTTTTTTTTTTTTTTTTTTTTTCCAGAACGGAAAGGAAAGAAAAATCTCCATGCTTCACTGTAAGGATAGCCAGCAACAACAGGACCAGACGTGGTTTATGGTCCATGCTTTTCTTCTCTTTGGCTGCTGAAGTGTTTTCTAAGACTTTGCTGCAGAGCAACCCAGTTAGAGCCAATGGGGTGCCTGGTGTGGTGAACTCAGTTCCTCTCTGGTTTCCTGTGGGCCCTGCCGGGTGAGACTCCAGCAGTGGGCACTCCTACCAGGCTATAAACCCAGCCCCAGGCTCTTTATCTGTACCCTGTTCTTATTGGGGGGTAATTAGGGCTCTTTCCTGCCCCCCCCACCCACCCACCCACCTCTTGTGTTCGCCCAAGCTGCTCTGATGGCAAGCTCATGGGAGCTGGTTGGGGCCAAAGCTATAGCTTCTACAGGCTACAGAGCAGATGAAAGCAAACTAGCTGCTTGTGGAATCCGGAACGGGTGCATACAGATTTTAGACACAGTGTCTGGGAGGACATAAAGTATTTCTGGAGCCTCGCACCCTCAAACCTGTAGAGGATGGAAGCCAAAGCCACACCCTCCTCCCCTCATCTATGGTCTTAAACATAAGCCCTTCAGATCTAACAGCAATATCTGAGCTATGAACAGTAAGGAAAATCTTCAAAATATAAAGCAGGACTGGTCATAGTACAAACAGCTAACATTCACTGGGTGATGATCACTCGTCTGGCACGGGTTAGCCCCCACCAACGCTGTGAGGAGCTACTGCTCTTATCCCCATTTTGCAGAGTTAGAAACTGAGGCAATAAAAGAGGGTAAGTGACCTAACCAAGGTCTCCTAGCTACTACGTGGTAGAGTCAGGCTTTGAACCCAGGTGCTCTGGATCCAAAGCCTCCCTCTCTTCGCCATGACATCCCTGCAGTTTGAATGAGAACATGGTTCTATCGACCATACAGTTGTCACATCCTGTGATTATAGCCACATTGCTGAATGCTTGCCATGTGCCAGGCCGCCTTTCAATCCTTTTCCTGTACCACCTCGCTCCATCCTGCTAACACGCCAGCAAGACGGGTACTATCGTGATCCTGCTGCTGCAGATGAGACCTTGGGACTCAGGGAGGCTGAGGGATTTGCCCCAGGTGCCAGAGAACAGGGTTCACACTCAGAGACTGAGCCCCGGAGTCTCGGGACCTACTGATGAAGCTGACACGGTGCCCCGGCCTCAAGGCCTCCCTGATCAGCCTGTTTTCTGCACTGATAAATGTATTTCTGAGACAGTCAGCCTGTAGTGTATGCGTTGTATTTCTCATCTCGGGCCCCATGAATTCAAACGGCCTGCACAAAGAGCCAACTCGTGACTCTGGCCCAGGTTGCCCAAGGCATAAAGCATTACCTAACGTGGCTCTTGAACATACTAGAACAGAAGCATGGACAGAGATCGTTCACGAACTTTCTAGTTGTCCTTTTGATGAAGGCATTGGTGAAATGCACAGCTGCCTCTACACTATTCCAGCCGACCTGGAATGACATCTTATTTAGACCGCTAGGCTACACCATGTAGCCCTAAAGAAAAGTTGTCGTTTGACTTAGCTTCCAAGGTCGCAGCCCCGGCTACTTGGCGTGTAAAATGAGATGACTTCCAGAGCCCCGCGCCCTGGCGTCCCAGGCATTCACAAGTCGTGTCTCTGGTAACTCTCCACAAGGATTCCTTGTGGATGTGGCAGAGCCACGGGACAGTTTTGTGGTGCTATTGGTTCTTGGTCTGCCCTTAGAGGGTTTGCCCGGTGGTCCAGTTACCACTGCTGCCTAACATACGACCCCAAACTTGGTGATTTGAAAACTCCACCATTTTATTATGTTCGTGGATTTCGTGAGCCAGGAATTTGGAAAAGGCACAGCAGGGACCTTTCTCTGCTCCACGATGATGACGTATGAGGCCTCAGTCGAGAAGGCTCACAGGTGGAGGTGGCTTGGCAGCTGGGAGCTGATGGCATCTCAAGGCACATTCATTCTGGAATGTGGCACGGGCTGGGGAGCAGCACGGACGGAGGCCTGCGGACCAGAGGGCTCACAGGGGGCTCTGCGTGTAACAGGATTCCTCCCTGCGTGACTGCACAGCTGCTCGGACCGCTAACAGGGTGGCTCGGCCATCCAGGTGCGAATATTCCAGAGAACGAGGGGCAAGCCGCATGCATCACCTTTCATGACAACCTAGGAAGTCACACTGCATCACTCCCACAGCACTGGGTGGTGGGTTGTCAACAAAGTCACAGCCACTCAGATTCAAGAAGAAGGCTAAGACACCGCCTCATCATGGAAGGGTGGCATTGAGGAATGGCCCTGGCGGGGGAGGGGCGGCGCTATGCGGCCACCACTGGAAATCTGCCATAACGGGTCCAAGAACAGAAAGGGGAAATCACAGGATCGACTTGCCTTAGAAGAAAACCAATGACCTCACTACCCAAAATAAATGAATAAATAAAAATAAAATCTTTGAAGAAAAGCCGGCTTTTCCTATATCCCAGCATTTTCTGGTTCCTCCGTGAAAGCTCACGAGAATAGACAGAGCAAGAGCTAAGGAAATGCAGTTAATGAAGCCAAACTATGTGCTTTAAGCAACCGCAGGCTGAGGGACTGAGAAATCTCGGGCCACGGTATTAGGAACAGAGAGCTCAGTGGATGGCCAGGAATGTACTTTCATGAGAATGAACAGGACATTAGTGAAGCCTGCACGATTAGAATGACAAAAGGGGAAAATTTGAGGAGCTCAAGGTAGAGGCTTGTTCCTGGCAATGGATTTCACAGATGCCCTGGTAAGCAGTGATCATTACTTAATACAAGCATAACACTCTATTAAATATCTAATTATGCTTAAGTCATAGTTAAGCTTAAGTTATATATATATATATATATATATATATATATATATATATATATATATATATACATATGTTGTTTTTAGGAACAGGTATTTTTGTAGGTTTTGCCTGTCCATGATTCCTTGCTCCTTCTCTGGTAACAGATGGGCCTGTCCACATTGGGAACTGTTGCTCTCCCACCTGGTGGGGCTGATAAATCCAGAGCCCCCACCATCTCTCCCCTGGGCTCATGATCTAGGATGGCCCCAGGCAGTGATGCATGCAGTGACTGTCTCAGGAGAGTGTGTGTGTCCCTGCGTGTGTGTGGTGTCTCCTGTGGGACCACAACCCGTTCTCTAGGATTTCTGTGGCTTCTGGGAAAGAGAGACTCTTCTTTTTTGACTGTGTGTGCTAAAGATCACATGAGGCTGGATGTGGAGAGACAGACAGACAGAGACAGAGAATAATGACATGACACTGTCTGAATGTTGGGAAACAGTTATGCTTGGATCCAGAGCTATCCCTTGGGCCTCCCACTTAATGGAGGGAATAAGTTCCATTTTTAACACATGCTAGTTCTGATTGGAATTCCGCCCCCCCCCCCCAACCACAAGGCCCTGACTGATACTCTAGAGGACAGGCAACACTGCCTGGTGTGGGTCCACCTTTCTCGTCTAGATCTTTTGTCCTCACATGGTCTCCCGGGTGTAGTTAGAGATGGTGATCTAGACCAGAGGGTTCCCAGATTATCCCCTTCATGGTTCTGAAGTTCAGCCTGGGCAGAAAGGCAAGCAGCGATCCTTTCTGGTGGTCCACACAACTCAGGAATATTTTCTTGGCCTTCAGGCGGAACTGATAACATCACAGACACGCCATGCATCGTTGGCAGGACTGTGGAGGACGGAGATCAAAGAGAAAGGGTTCGGGAGTCAGTCCCAAGACCGCACACAGTAAGAGAAGAAGGCCTGAGAATATCCAGTTCCTGAAAAATGGAAACTCTTTGTTTTTCCCTGGCACAAATTCATGCACACATATTCGTAGCTATTATTTTTAAGATGTTTAAAATGTTATGTGCTGAGATCTCAGCCCTGCCCTTGAACATGATGTGCTAAAGGGCTTGGGGCCAGAGCCTGGGTCCTGCCCGCTCATGGGCTGCCTCCCCTTTAGCCCCACTATCAGG